AAAAAAAAAAAAAAAAAAGTCCAAGAAGCTGTTCACTTGGGGAGTTTTCCCCACTTTTCTGTTTTTAGGTTTACTCATTTCCATGACACTGACAGAGAATAATTATTTATCAGTAACAAATACTTTTTTCCTACTAGAAGCAGAGCAGCCAAGAGGTAATAAATAAAAGAACCTGTTTTTGTGTTCTTGTACCTGATCTTTAATTAACAGAGCCTGTGTTTACTCTGTCCTCTGCCAAAAGAACTCTTCTGAGCAGCATTCTCTAAACTCAGGCACTTGAAAGCGGCCAAATTTGGGGCAGTCTCAGCTTTTAGAAATGACATTGGCCAGAATGCTGCATCAAACTCAAATAGAATATGAGACTGCTTGGGTGCAACTTAGCCATGATATTATCTGAGACATCTTTATAATTCTGTTTACTTGTCTGTTTGCATAAACAGACAGGGACATTAAGAAATGCTATTGGCCGGGCACAGTGGCTCATGCCTGTAATTGCCGCATTTTGGGAGGCTGAGGCGCGCAAATCACCTGAGGTCAGGAGTTTGAGACCAGCCTGACCAACATGGAGAAACCCCATCTCTACTAAAAATACAAAGTTAGGCATGGTGGCGGGCTCCTGTAATCCCAGCTATTCAGGAGGCTGAGGCAGGAGAATCACTTGAACCTGGGAGGCGGAGGTTGCAGTGAGCCGAGATCACACCATTACACTCCACCCTGGGCAACAATCGTGAAAATCTCTCAAAAAAAAAAAGAAATGCTATCACTTGCCTTCTACCACTTAAGACAGGTCACTGTCTCCCTGGATCACTGGATGACTGCACCCAGCACACAGACAGACACTACTGAATCTCATCTGGCACTGGGGAGTAGAGTACATTTTTTCTGAATCTCTTATCTCAGAACAAAGAGATTGTCACAGTTCTAACCTGTCTGAGCATGTTTGGTTTTACACTTACAGCTCTCAAACCTGAGTCATCTATTTATCTTAAGTTAGAGGGTATCTAACCTGGATTTGGGGCATCATCATTCAACAGAAACATCAGCCCTATTATGTGGCAGGCATGATCATTGTTGCAGAGGACAGCGATAAATAAGTTGCTGTCCTTGCCATCTTGAGAAGTGCTCACACCAGTAGAAAAGACCATCTCAAATTCGTTACTTGTTTAAGTGAGCACATGCCAAAGATTTATACAACTTATTAATGAAGGAACCAGCAGGATGGGAAAGCTCTCAAACCAATTACTTTTAATCAGTGAATACAGTTTGGATAAAGTGCACTGGAAACACAGGAGGAAACAATTTATTGTGACTTGGAGAGTTTAGGAAGTTAATGACAGATTATGTCATTATGCTGAGACTGGGACTTGGAGGATGAGTAGGGCTTGCCAGGTGGACAAAGAACATGTGCATTTCAAGAAATAGCAGGTACAAGTTTGAAAGTGTGGCACATTTTATAAACCAAAAGAACTTGAAGATGGTTAGAGATGGGGAGGAGCAAACAGTAAAATTACAGAATTAAAAGCCAAATCCTAGAAAGCTTTTACTTTATGTACATGATCCATAGTTTGAGGTTTCCTAAAGTGCATTGCAAAGAACACTGTTTTTCAGATAGTTTGCTAGATACTTTGGGGCATAAAGATCCCCTGCTCAAGACCAGGTTAAATAAAGTGAAGCCAGTTTATTCACTGCAGGACTGTTTAGAGCCTTTCATATACACAGTGTGATGGAATCTCCAAAGGGAATAGTGACTTTCAGATTTCTGGTCTGAGCAATATATATATATATATGGTTATGCCTTCAACCAGGTGAGATTTGGACAAAGATAGTATGCAAGCTACTTTTCATACCTCCAGCAGTATCACGGATTACTCCCTAATAATCCCTTTTAAGCACCAGGTCCACATACAGGTAGAGCATCTGTCTTGGTCCATTTTGCATTACTACAAAGAAATACCTGAGGCTGAGTAACTTAGAAGTTTATTAAGCTCACAGTTCTGCAGGCTGTACAAGAAGCATGGCACCAGTATCTGTTTCTGGTAAGGATCTTAGGAAGTTTACAATTATAGTGGAAGGCAGAGGGAACAGGTGTATCACATGGCAAGAGAAGGAGCAAGAGAGGAGGAGAGGTGCCATGCACTTATAAATAACCCATGAAAACTCTACCACAAGGAGGGCACCAAGCCATTCAGGAGGAATATACCCCCTTGACCCACATACCTCCACCTAGGCACTGCCTCCAACATTGGACATCAAAGTTCAACATGAGATTTGGAGGGAACAACTATCCAAAATGTATCATCAGCATCCCTAATCCAAAATCCTAAATGCTCCAAAATTGAAATTTTGAGGACGCTTATTATGCCACAAGTGGAAGATTCCACACTTAATCTCATGTGACAGGTCACAGAACTTTGTTTCAGCTGGAATTGGCTCACACCTATAATCCCAGCACTTTGGGAGGTTGAGGTGGGAGGTTCCCTTGAGCCCAGGAGTTCGAGACCAGCCTGGGCAATATAGCAAGACCTTGTTTCTACAAATAATTTAAAAACTAGCTGGGTGTGGTGGCACACATCTGTGGTCCCAGCTACTTGGAAGATTGGGGTGAGAATTGCTTGACCCCAAGGGGTCAAGGCTATGGTGATTATGACCATGCCACTGCACTCCAACATGGGTGACAGTGAGACCCATCTCCCAAAAAAAAAAAAAAAAAAAACAAAAAACCTTTGTTTCATGCACAAACTAAAATATTTTACAAGATTATCAGGCTATGTGTATAAGGTGTATATGAAACAAATGAATTTTGTGTTTAGACTTGGGTCCCATCCCCAAGATATCTCATTATGTATATGCAAGTATTCAGAAGTTTGGTGCAATGGGTCATGCCTCTAATCCCAGGACTTTGGGAGGCCAAGGTGAGAAGATTGCTTGAGCCCAGGGTTGCTTGAGATCAGCCTGGGCAACATGGCAAAACCCTGTCTCTACAAAAAATACAAAAATTAGCCAGGCATCATGGCATGCACCTATAGTCACGGCAACCTGGGAGGCTAAGGTGGGAAGATCGCTTGAGCCCAGTGGTTGGAGGCTGCATTGAGCCAAGATTGTTACTGCACTCATCCTGAAAGTGGCATCCTGCCTCAAAAATAAACAAATAAATAAAATCCAAAATCTGAAACACTTCTGGTCTCAAGTATTTTGGATAAGAGA